GTCCCGGTGCCTGCAGCACAGCAGTGGCAGGGCATGCCATGGGCCTAGGGGGAAATGGGGCGTGGGGCAGCGTATCACTGTGCGTGGACGGGGCAGCTGAGCCCTGGCCCCATCGCTGGCAGCTCACAGCACCTGCCTGAGCCATGTCACTCCATCAGAAGATCTCAGGTTGGCAGTGCAGGGCAGGGGCATGCTGGCCACCTCCTTGCTGCCAGCTCCGCTAGGCTGGTAAAGCACTTTTCTTGTCCCGGCTCTGCTGTGGTTTTTGGGGAGATGGCTGCCTTCTCCTCCCCCGCGCTTGTCCCCCAGCTCCCCGGGGACCCCCCTTCCCACATGTGTGTGTGTATGTGTGTGTGTGCACGTCCATAGCTTGCCATGGGGCAAGGAGCTGAGGGGTTTGGGTAGCCTCGGCTGTGGGGCAAACACAGCCACCTCCTCCCCAGCCCCTTGGTGTAGGCAAGGTCTCGTATACAAAGCACAAACTTGGTTTTTGGTCTTCTCTGCCATACCCTGGCCAGGCAGGCTCCCACAGCCCCAGGGAGGGTCGGGGGCAGCATGCACTCGGCTGGGCCTGAACTGACCCCAGGGACACAGTGCCTGCAGCGACGCTCAATGCTCGGGAGATTATCAGTATCTTAAGAAGGGGTTTATTTCAAAGCAGGGCAAGCAGCCCCCTGAGCAGGGTGGGCAATGGCAGCCAGCTCCCCAGGCACCCACTTGGCTGGAGCCACTGGTGCTGCAGGTCCTTGGCACTGATGGAAACGGGCGTTTTCCACCTTTCTTCCTGCTGCTGTTGTGGTGGGGACAGGAGTCTGCCATGAGTAGGGCAAGGCTGGTGCTGCACAGGACAGCTGGGGCCCTGTGGATTTGGGAGGACCACTGTGTGCCATCCCAGCCCAGGCTGGTGTTGGGGCTGGCCCAGGACCCCACAACCCGTCTCACTGCCAACCCAAAGCCTGGCTCCCCCAGGGGCAAGGCAAAGCTGGCTCAGGCCCTGGGCATCCCCAGGACACACAGTTTGGCCAAGGCAAACTTTGATTCTTTTTTTTTCCCCTCTCTCTTTTTTTGGGAAATAAACTAAAACCCTAGACTTGGTGTTTTTACAATTATGGTGTAATTCCCACCTGTCTGACCGTGTGTCAACCTTTGTAACATCGGCAATAAACCATTAAAAGTGACTTTCCCATGAGCCTGCCCATCCTGGCTTTGTCTCTGTGTGTACGTGTGGCAGTGAGGATGCTGGTGGCTCTCCTGGAGTGCCCAGGGATTTATCCAGACAGCAGGATGGACTCACCCACCTCCACACAACATGTCCCGGGGGATCGCAGGGTGCTCCAGCCTTGCTTGGGGGGGACAGACCCTGAGCCTGGGACAGGAGGCTGCTGCCCACCAGGAGGGGTGACTGGGACCAGGGCTGGTCCCCTGCTGCTGCAGGGATTTCGAAGTGCATCTGCCTGCTGCCTGCTGTCTGGCTGCGTTTCACCCCACAAAGCACACACTGCCTCCAACTGCTGCACGGTGTAGCTTTAATGTGATTGATTTTTTTTTTTAATGCACACATATATATATATATGTATTTAAATATATTTCTTACTTAACAGTTGGTACCAGACAGACAGGAGCTGCCCTTCTCACACAGATACGGAGCCATATGGCACAACAGTCCCTGCCGGGGGCATGCCACATCTGCTCACTCATACACACGGGGAGAAACCCCCGCTCATGCCATGGGCACCCATCGGGAGAGGACCATCATGGCCAAGGGGCCTCGGGGACTGTCCCCTAGGTCTACGGCTCCCACCCCAGTGCTGTGCCCCATTCCTGCCCACAAAAACACAGGGCAGGCAGCCGGGGCTCTCGGTGGCCCTGCTTGAGCAATGGGGTGGGACCAGATGACCTCTAGAGGTCCCTTCAACATAACCATTCTGTGGCTCTGAGACCCCAGTGCTGCCCCAGCTGTTTCCGATGACATTCTCCTCTGCATCCCTCCGGCAGAACAGGGTCTCCTGGTGGGAGGTGCCCTCAACTAGCCCAAGCTTGGAGTAAGACAGAGACAGGAATGAGGAAGGTTCCCAAACCTGATCCCACCCATGGGCACGTGCAAGCTGGCTGCACAGAGTGGCATCTGGAGCTCAAAGGTCATCCCTGCCTCTGCTCTAGCAACGGACAGACGCACTGCCTCCAGGAGCAGCCTTGGACAGAGCCTGCCCTTCCCTTCAAACATGCAAGGCAGCTCAGCCCCCGAGGCCACCATGGTGCCTCCTGCCTTCAGGGCCCGGCCCTGCTCTTCACCCACCACCAGCTCTCTAGAGATCCTGCTGACTTTGAATAGACTTACAGCAAAAATAAACTCCCCAAACCCACACATAACCTGATCGCCAGTGAAACAGAGAAGGAGAAACCACAAAACACACAATTCCTCCATTAAAGTTACAGTGGAGGACCAAAACCAGAGAACCCTGCATCCAGGCTTCCCCAACAGGTCTCTTCTTCCACGCAGAAATGTTCTCTGGGGAGGAAGAGGAATTTGTGCATTTGTTGGGGATTTCCAGATGCTGGGCACACTGCTGTGCTCATGCAAATGTGATGCATTACAGATCCCATGTGCTGTCCAGTGAAGAGGTGCAGCCCAGTGCAGGGGACAGCACCCGCCAGCGCTGGTCACGCAGCACCCCTGTTCCAGCAGTGCCAGGTCCAGTCAGGACTCTGCCCATGGCAACGTGAGAGCCCTGCTCTGGGCCTAAAAGCACCAACGTATCTCGCCTGAGGAACTTGGCCCCTTGGTTAAGTGGCTGTAGCCAGCTGAGAAACTTCTCTGTGCAGCCCAGCTGCTAGATGGGAGATGAAGAGCAACAGTGAGGAAAGCAGGAACAGGAGAAAAAGAGGAGAGAAAACAAGACCAAGAGATGAGGCAGTGCCATAGCAGCAGGGATGTGATGAGAAAGGCTCCCAGGGAGCAACGTGGGGAGCTTTTGCAGGAACCTCCGGCACCCTCCAGGTCCACAGGCACCAGACACGTGTGCCCTGGGGAGCCATAAGCAGGCCATCTCCCTGGGGGGGACCCCTGAGCTCTTCTTGAGCACTGAGTTGTGACTAGTGTCACTGGTGCGGTCACACACCCCAGCATAATGGCCAGGAATAAAGAGGCAATGTGAGAGAGGAGGTCAAGGGCCAAAGGAGAAATGGTTTTGCAACCCACAAAGACCCAGGAGAAGAGAGGAGAAGGAGATGTGACAGCTGCACTGGAGAACTTGCGTCCCTAAAGGTGACCAGGTGAACCAAGTGTGTGGGACAACATGGGGTGGAAAAGCAAGCATGGCGGGCACTGCTGAGCATGTACCTCTGCTGGCACTAGAAACCAGGTCTGGCCTGTGTTGGCTGTCTCTGAAAATGTCACTGACAGCGGGACGGAAAGCTGGGCACTGCAAAGGAAGGGGACTTGGTCTGTTATGAATGCCCTGGGTAAGATTTTAGACATCTGTGACACCTGATGAGCATGTGGGTGGGAAGACTGTTGGGAAGCCTTCTGCCCCCAGCAGCTCCTGCTCTGCACTTGCCAGGCACTTGGGGACCCCCAGCCATGCCAGGCAAGGTCTGACTTGAAAACTTCTGCAGAACATAGAAAATAAAACCTGTGATTTTTTTTTCTTTTTGTGAGCTAAAGAACTATTTTCTTCATGCACCTGAGCAAAGCTCAGAGCAAGACTCTAGTCATTTTAAAACTATCACTCCCAGGCCACCTGTAGGGACTGTCACGGTGTGGCACCGAGGTGAAGGTCATGGTGACCCTCTACATTAGGATGCACAACGTTGCAAGGAACTGGGGTTGCTGCTACCCCTTCCTACCATGGGCTTGGAGCAAATGGCCTTCCTGGCCTCTCGCTGTAGAGCAGCTCTGGTGAGAGTGCCTGGGCCTCAGCAGCCCCATCCCTCCAGCCAAGGTGCAAGGAGGAGAGAAAGGTGAGACGTGCGTTCCCTCAGGCAGAAGCGTTAAGAGAAACGTAGCAAAAAAGAAGAGAAGAGAGGAGGGAGCACAGGACAGACATACACACGCTCTCACGACTGGCCCTTTCAAATGCTTCCAACCATGAAAGCATCTGCATCGCTGCCCACCATGGCCCAAACTGGCATAAGAGAAGTTTTTTTGGAGGTGAGGAGGGTCTGGTCCCACGAGCCCCAGCCGCAGCTGGGGAGTGCCGAAGGGCTGCCCAGTGAAGGCCCCCTTCTTGCACACCCACCCATGCTCACGCCTTGCATCCTGACCAGCTCTGGAAAGTGGTTTTTTTTGGTCTACCCTGAGTAGATTCCTCAAATGAAGGTGCTTTTCCTGGTGGGGGGAGAGGGTGGGGCTGGGGCAGGGCTGCGGAGACCTGGCAGTCAGCACTCGTTCGCTCTCTCTGGGAAGAAGATTTCGCGACATCGCTGGACCGTGTCCTGGGGGGACTGGACACTGTGTCCCACCGTGCGGGGATCGTCATAGATTTCATAATCGTTCCCTCCCTGCAGGGGAAGAGAAAATAGGGAAGGCATTAGCAGGGCCTTGCCAGAGCATGCTCATCCATGAATCCGCATCTTGCTCTGTCCCGTGAGGAGCTGGGGTGGGAGCCGGCAGCTGGGCAGGCAGGGACCTGCTGGGAAGGGGCTGTCAGGGCTTTGCTGGCCCAGGGAGGCAGAACAGGCTGGGCTGGGAGCCCTGCTCCCTCCCTCTTGCCTCCTCTCTTCTGTGCCAGGGGAGGAGCATAGAAAAGATGGGGAAGGTCCTAGACCAGCAAAGCTTGTCTGGAAGCCTGGGGTTAACCTCTGCCTCACATCTGGAAGGGCTAGCAGAAGGTGGGGTAGAGGGGGGCATTTAGGGGGGGAGAGGTTGCCATCATCTGGAAAAAGCTGAGTGGATGGCCAAGCTGGTCTACAGCAGCAAGGAAGCATCACCCTCCACTGCTCTAAGGGAAGGCAAAGCTGTTCCTGCTGTTCAAAAGCCCTCTCCTAAGTGCTGGGGGTTGGTGTTTCGGGTCCTGCAGGCCACAGGAGTGGCTGCCCCCCTCCCAAGGATGCCAGGGGGGAGGAAAGCAATGTTGAGGTGGAGCCACTCCCCAGTGCAGTAAATCCAGGGTGATTTCCCCACAACTCAAGGCATGCAGCCATCACGAACCTGCTGCAAACACACACTGCATGAGAGCATCTCTCTCCCTCACACTGCTAGAGATCTGTGTCGGCCACCGGCAGGACCCCGGCTGTGGGACCCGCGACGGAGCAACTCCAGGCAGGCTTGCCAGGCCAAAGGAGAGAAAGCAGCAGCATGTGGGGCGAGTGGGGTATACTCACAGGGGTGGTCTCGTTCCCAAAGAAATGGATGGTGTCAAATCTCTCATCGTCGAGCACGTTGAGGCAGTAGCGCTTGTCCCAGCCCTCTGGGAAGACGTCAAAGCTGATCATGCCACCTGCCAGCAGAAGGGAGGGCATCGAGCAACATCGGTGGGAGCTGGCAGGGTGTCCCCCCACCCCGGTACAGGCAGGAGGAGAGGAGAGGGCTGGATGTCTGCCGGGACTCCCCCAAACAGCAACCAGGCACCAGCTCTGCCTTGGTGTGCCTCTCTGGCTTGTGGCTAGGACAGTGGCAGATGCTGTTCCTATGACAACAGGCTGGCGTGACATCACATGGCTGTGGTGACATCAGCATGGCTCCCCTGACTGCAGGCAGGCAGCCAAGCAGGAACTAGCGGGCTGCAGGGGGGGGATGCTGGGGTGGGAGGTCCCAAGAGATGCATCTGTTGGGGGAGATCTGGGGTCACACCTTGCAGATACCATCAGCACGTTCTGTGTCCCATCAGGGGACAATGTACTTGGAGACTGGCACCAAGCTCTCTCCTAGGCTCCTGCATGGACATCATGGACATCGCTGGCCCTTCTAAAACCACTGCTCCTGACTGTCCTTAACCCTGCACATACAAAGCAAACCCACGCACCGCACAGCTCAGGGTCCCAGCTGGCTATGTTGCAGGCTCTGAGCAGACTCTGCACACTGATCAAGGACCTTGCCATGGAGGTACCATGCATGAACCCATCGACATAATCGGGGCATGACCCTGGCCTGTCACCTCTTGCTACAAGAGTCAAGCGCAAGTTGCCAACATCTAGAGGGGCATCAAGGCAGACAGGGCAAACGTATGGAGGTAAGGGAGCTTTCCCAGAGAGCATGCATACATGGGCACATGGACACCCACAGCCACAAAGGGTTAACAAACCTCCTAGCCCTTGCTCTTAGACCAGGCAGGGTTTACCCCAGCACCATGCTGTGTTTTGGGAGTGCATGGAGGCACCTTCCCCATCCTTGTGAGCAGCCCCACTGCGTGCACAGGCTGTAGAGCTGGTCCCTTGTCCCAGCACTGACACAGGTGACACGCTCCTCCCAAAACAGAGCCTGCGACTTAGGGCACACATATGTTTAAGTCTTGCTCAGAGCCTGGAGGAACAGGGGTTTGCACTGGCACCTGCCTCTCCCCACCAGGCCTCTGCTCCTCTTGGTTTCAAGGGGGACCCCCTGCTTCTCCAGGCAATCTAGCGAGCCACCAGCAATCCTGGATTTTCATGCTCTCCTTCATAACTCATAACCCCACCTCTCAGGAAGTGGGTTAGCAGACAGGTACCCACAGGGGATGGTCCCTGCTGCAGAAGCAGCACCGATCACCCCAGGATGTTCAAACCTGTACGTCCTCTTCTTCCTGGCTGGTTTAGGTGTCCCCATCAGTTTGGGGGTCCCAAACCAACCCTTCCAAGAGCCTGAGGAGCCAGGGATGGAGCCTAGGTGCCCAGCTTGAAGCAGTGGACAGGGCACTGCGATACGGATGGGAGCAAGTGCCCCAATGAGCCCAGGGATGGCAATACCCCAGGTTCACAGCAGGAGCCAGCATCGGAGCAGGAGCTAAACTTGGTTGCCCTCATTAAAATCCTTCCTGGTTTTGTACCCAAAGCCATTTACACTGTATTTCACTGTGTTCTGGCCTTTTAAATAGAGCTGGGCAGCAAGAAGGGGCTTCTGATGCCAGCTGGAGAGGGTAGGAAATCAAAGGGTGAGGAGGTGGTGTGGCGGACAGCCAGCACTGTCCCTTGCCTAAGGACAACACAGGTCTGGGGGACTGCAGGGAGATCTACCACCTCTGGGGCTTGTGTCCTCCACAGCCTGGGACAAGGCACACAGAGCCAGCTTGGCAGAAGAGCCCTGTTTCCATGTGTCCCTGTTTTTGGATGCCTGACCTGAGACACCCCATGTTTTCTTTGTGGAGTAGTGGAGGATCCGCAGTCCCCTTGCCTTCATGATTTTACACAACGGACCCAGGCTCTTCATGGCTGCTTCCCAAAGTCAGAGGAGAAAGGCCCGTTGTCCTGCCCTTGTCCCCTGTGTCTGTGGCGACATGGCAGAGAGGACCTTGTCTTTCTCTGCTGTGACAAATGGTATGTGCTAGTGCTGCAGGCAGCACAGGATGCCCCTGTCAGGATGGTGCAGGCAAGGGGAGGCTCTCAGGAGGAAAGCCCATGGACGACCAGAGGGCCAGACCCTTGGTACTGGCCCACGCTGGATGCAAGAGTGGGGCCACCTCCCAGCCTCGCCACCCCCTTGCCTTTGGCTAGGCTGCCACAAGGTACCTTCTGATCTTACGCATACCCACTGCTCTGCTTCATGCCCCACCACTTACCCTCATTTTCCTCCCTGTCATGACCAGACCCCCAGGATTGCTCCAGCACCTCCTTCAGTTCCTTGCCTTCAGTAAGCTGGCTGTAAGAGCATCCCTCAGGCCCAAGAAGTGTCTCTGCAGAAGGCCATGGCATGGAGCTGCAAACTCTCTGGCTCTTGGCAGCTCTTCCTCCAGGACAAAAGATGTTTCCCTCGTGGCCAACACTCCCAACAAAACCCCAGAGCCGAAACATGTGTGAGGCTCCTGTCTCCCTTACACCACGGTATTCCCAGAGAGGACTGCATGTGCCTGGAGCTCTGCTGGCCTCTGCTGATGCTTGAACCAGAACATACCTCCTGGGCAGGGGTGGGCTCAGGAGAGCTAACTGGAATTAAGGTAGGGGGAACATCACGGGAGAGAAACCTACCTGGCTGGCTTGTTCCCAGGGGGGCAAATCTGCAGCAGTTTATTCTCTGCTGTCGCCCTACTGCAGACATGAACGTGATGCCCTCATGGCAGCTCTCTAGGAACAGAAGTTCCTTGTGCTCTTCCCGGGGTCTCCTCAGGGAGCACAGCTGCAGCCATCACCCAACCAGACCCCCAGATAGAACAGCCAGGATTCCCACTCCCCTTCCCAGCGTTTTATGGGAAACACAATAAAGAGGCCAGGGCAAAGCCAGGGAAGCCCCCGCCGCTCACCTCGAGAGAAACGCAGCCCTTTGCCAGCAAACTCCCTCTGCAAGGCTGCCACAAACTTCTCCCGGATCCGCTCTTTCTGCACAGGAGAAGGAAGAAAGGGAAGGAAAGAGGGTTTGAATAATTCACAGAATCACAGAATCATAGAATGGCCTGGGCTGAAAAGGACCTTACAGATCATCTCGTTTCAACCCCCCTGCTGTGGGCAGGGTTGCCAACCACTAGAGCAGGCTGCCCAGGGCCCCATCCAGCCTGGCCCTGAATGCCTCCAGGGATGGGGCATCCACAGCTTCTCTGGGCAACCTGTTCCAGTGCCTCACCACCCTCACAGTGAAAAAGTTCCGCCTAATATCCAACCTAAGTCTCCCCTCTCTTAGTTTAAAACCATTCCCCCTCATCCTGTCACTATCAATCCCTGTAAACAGTGGCTCCCCTCCTGTTTATAGGCTCCCTTCAAGTACTGGAAGGCCACAATGAGGTCTCTCCCGACAGTCTACCAAAAGCCACCGTATAACTGTCTGCTGAACAACTCTGGCTTATTGCATTCTCCCTTCCCCCATGCTCCCAGTGTAAGGCCATTTACCCAGCTTTCACCAGCCCTGTCCAGTGTCTGCATAAAAAGCCACCAACTCAGGGCAGCTCCAGGAGGCTCCTGAGAAGAGCACATCCCAGCCTTTCCTTGGCAATGAAATGCAGCTGCTTCAGTTTCCCAGAAGCCCAGTTCATAGCCCAAAGTCTCCAGCTTTGCTTAGAAAGTCAGCCTTGTAAAGTCCAGCTGATCCCTCAACCCCATGAGAGCTCCCCCAGGCAGAAACTGCCATGAGTGCAGGCCAAGTGCTCCAGAGATCATAGGAACCATAGAATGGTTTGGGCTGGAAGGGATCATCTAGTTCCACCACCCCCACCCCCCCCGCCCTCCCAGTCTGGAAAGCCCATTAGTTCCAGCTCTGTTGGGGCTGGGAGAGTGGGAGAGAGAAGACAGCTGCTGGGCCATGTTTGGTTACTGTGAATGAGGAAACAGCCTCCTAAATAAGTGCCTTATTCCCTGGGGCCATTGCATCGGTGGTCCCCTATGAAGTCAAGTTCTGCCTTTCATCTATGAGTCTCCTTGGGTTTTCTGACCCCAGTCCCCTCTGCACCCTGTTGCACATGTTGGCCCGGTGCATGGTGGGGAGCTGGGCTCCTTTCTCCTCAGAGTGGGGGGAAGCAGGTAAGACCCGAGATCTGCGGTGGTGCAAAGCTGGCAAAGGGGAGGGCGAACCCGAGTCTGGCCCACATACCTTGTCTAGCTCAGAGAACTCGATTCGCTCCTCTGGAGTGCAGCTCCGTCCGATGGGGGAGATGTTCAGCATCCCGTTGCGAAACTCAATGAACGTTCCTCTGTGGGTGGAAAAGGGCACAAGGTTACTGGGGCAGGGAGAGAAAAACAGACCTTTCCAGGGGAATGGCTGCTTGGTGAGGCGTGCAGGGACATGCAGCAGGAGAGAAGCCATGCCCACTCATGGGTGCACACGTTTCAGATGTACAAGAGCCTCTAAGGTTGCCCAAGGGCCCTGTTGCAGCAGACAGAGACCAAGCTTCAGGAAGGCTGCTTAAGGTCTCCAAGGGGATCATAGTTTCATAAAAAGAGACTGTAAGAGAAAGAGGAATAAACAGGTCCTGTGTGTGGTGGGGACAGGCTGGAAGCAACGAGCTTAGGTGAGGTGACAGGAGACATTTTTTAATGTTGTAAGAACTACAAGGACAGCTATTGCCTGGACTGGACCAACCACTTGATGAGACTGTGGCATCTCCACCCCTGGAGGCCTTTAAGAAAGCTTGTGTGGGTTGGGTGAAGCTGGCAGTAGCTTGAGGCAGCAGGATGGAACAGGTCAGTGTAACTCTCTGCTGATGTCCAGCAGCAGGCTGAGGAGCAATCAGGACCTCCTTCTGGGACACAAATCAGGTAGGACCCGCAGGGCCTTCATATCTCCTATTTGTCCCCTGCACCTTGGACTGCAACTCTTATCTAAGCTTGCACGGACAGGACCCAGTTCCTGCTTGCTGCCCTCACCTTGCACTGGGATCACGACTCTGCTGCCTCCTTGGTGGGCTGGTTCAAAGCACTAAGCCAACAGAAAACTGCTCCCTTCTTTTCTCTTTGCTATAAACCCAGCCAGTTCTGTTTGCTTATCACCTTGGGATAGCTCAGCGAGGGGTCAGACAGGTACCAGCGCTGGCAGAGCAGAAACAACAGGGAATGGCAGCACTGCCAATTTGAAAAGAGACTGAAACTCCTGTGGAAAGCTATCTGGAGCAGGGAGATCCCCTCCCCTGTCCATCTGAGGAGCCCTGAGCTTATTAACCCTCTGATGTCCCTCTGCCCGCTGTTTCTCTGGGATAAAGTGCTTACCACCCTGAGTCTGGGGGAAAAACTCTCCACCTCCTGTCTCGTAACACAGTGAAGAACATCGTGGGGAACAGACACATGGGCAGCCACTCCTGCGGCCTGGGAGCAGCACCTCTGCCCCAAGCCAAGACTTGGGAGATGTGGGTTAAAGTCCTTGCTTTGCCAGAAATCTCATAAGCCTAAATCCACAGAGGCACTCAGGAGCTGAAATTTCACCAGACTGTTGGGCAACCAGACAGCAATGAGGCAGCCAAACGGCCTTGAGTGTTCTGAGTCCCAGACCGTGCTTTTGGGGGCATGTTCAGCCAGCAGTCCTGCCACAAAGAGCCACCCTGGCCCCTTTCACCAGTCCTCCTATTGCCACATAGTGACTCACATCAGGCAAGTAATATGGATCACAGTTTAGCAACTTTTACCAGCTTAATTTCGACCAGACAGCTCGCCTGCTTGGGTTCACCATACAAACACGAGGGGAAAGCTGGCCAGGGCGAGGGAAGGGCAGAGCCGCTGCTTTCAGCAGCACTACTGGTTCACACCAGCTTCCAACATTTGTGAAACCATGGTCTGAGAGGTGGTTTGACAGTGCACCCAAGCTGGCTTAACTGCTGGCTGCCCATGAAAGAGGTTCTCCTGCTCTCCCCTTCCACCTTCATGCCATCTGTTCCCTCTCCCTCCTTCCTGTGATGACAGGTGAGCTGATCCAATGGAAAGCTACCCTTTTCTTTCCTGCCAGTGGCCTAGTCTTCCTTCAGAGGAGGTGTGCCAACCCAGCTCACCCTGTGGCTGCTGGATCTCGTGGGGGGAAGCAAACAGGAACACACGGTCAGGGCCAGAGCAGGGCCAGCCCGATTACCAGTGGTGCCAAGCAACACTGGGTTAGAAACAACGTGAAACTGCATGCTCAGGCACTGGACCTCCCATCTAAAGAGCCATTGTTTGTCTGTTTGGAAACTCATACGACCAATGATGCCTGATGCTCTGACTGGTAACAAGCTGGTACAATTGTCCTAAATGAGATGCACACAGGGGCTGTACCCTGCTTCCCAGGGAAGAAAATCCAATGGGCAAAAGAGCAGACATTATGTTAAAAAATAGTGCAGACTCTCCAGTACAAAGACCCTCCTCCGTTATTTGCCCCCAGTGCCCAGGTCGGTGGGACAGTGATCCTACGCAGGGCCTCTAGATGCTAAGAAAAAACCTGGAGCAAGACAAGCTCAGTAGCTCAGCTGTTCTTAGGAGAGCTCTGGAGTCCTCATCTCCCCAGAAATCAGTGTTATGACTGCCATTTGTGCAGTCTGGGGCCGTTACCGTTTCTTGGGCAGCTTCAGCAGCGCCAGGTAGTTGAGACAGAAATTGATGAGATCCTGCAGCAGCTCTTCCCCCAAGTGGTCCTGAATGGCCTGTGGGAGAAGAAGGGGGAGTGAGGAAGAAGCTAGATCTCCCGTGAAGCCCAACCGAGAACATGACCTGGAAGAGTGGTACATTCAGATCTGGCATTTGGGAAGAAGAGAAGAGGCTGCCCATGCCCTGGGGCCAGATGCTGCTCCCCACGGCATGCATGGCTCAGGGGCTGCGCAAAGATGGGGAAGGAGAGCCGTGGCTGCAAGGGGAGCTGGACCAACCTGCTTGGAGACCAGCTGCCCATTCTTGTATTGCACCGTGCCGTTCTCTGCGAAGACATAGTCAAACTTATCGATGACTGAGAGGGGAGGAAACAAGAGAGGAAACATAAGCAATGTGCGGGAAAAGGAGCCAAAAGGATTGGGCTTAGGATCGAGTGAGCCATCCTCCTGGTCCCTTCATACCACGCTTTTCACGTCTCCCGTGCTCTGACAAGGGCTGCTGACCCTCCTTGCTCCCTGCAAAGTGGGTGAGGAGATTATCTTCTGTTCACATGTGGGGAGCTGACGCACACAGAGGGAAACAACCTGACCGAGGTCATGGCCTGAATCAGTGGCAGGACAAAGATAAGGGCTGCAAAATGTCAGGCTTTCAACCACGTGCGTGTTACTGTGCTCTCTCTCCTCCCCTCCCCACTGCCCGGCTGCTGGGGCGATGTGGTTACTGGTTATCTAATTCCAGCCTCTCCTGCAACCTGGACACACAACAGCACTACGGGCTCAGCCATCCGCCTCAGCCGGGAATTTCTCGGCCTCCCTCTGCCAACGAGGCCCGGCGTCCAGCCGCGCTTGGCATCCATGCCAGGGATGGGAAACAGCGACTGCCTCTCGCCCTCCCACTCCCTCCTCTGCCCCATGTCCCCGTTTGAAGGCGATCAGGAACCCCCGGAGACCCCACTATGGAGCAGCATGGAGGCAAAATTTGCAAGGGGCTTCTGCCGGCTGGGGAGGCGAGGGAGAAAGCTGTCAGATGAGGCTTGTACGGAGCAGGCAGCGCGGGCTGGCGCATCCCTGCCCGCCCTCTGCGGGGGGAGAAGGAGCCGAGCTCCCGCCTGGGCATGGCCAGATGCCCCCCCCCCGGGCTGCCTGAGGGTCCGATTTTAGGACACAGGTGACCCCCCTGGGAAGACCTCATCGTCTGT